ATCTAAAGTCTTTGGACCATGATCTGGAGCGGCAGAACAGTAGAAATATTTAACAAAATTAAAGTCAAAGAGAAAGTAGTGGGAATTTTTTAATTTTTCCTTCCTTTGGCTCCCCTCAGTTACTCTAATTAAGAAAGAGCTGCCTGCAGCAATCAGCAGAAGATCGACCATCTCTATAAAGTGTGTCTACAACGGTGTAATTGTGCAGAGAAATTCATGCACAAAGGACACATTTCCTTCAAGTAGAATTTTGCCCCAAACAGTAACGTAATTGTAAATGTTTAGTACAAATGGAAATTTTTGATTGATTTCATCTGTTGTTCTAGATTAAATCGGAAACGTCTGTAAAATAACTTCAGAATAACATTTCTCAATTGGTCAGCAGCAGAAATCATAATCTGTCCCACCTCTCCTAGTGCTTACATGTAAAAGCCAATAGTGTGAAAAAATGAAACAGAGAAAGCTTCCTTCTTACTTGAAACCATCAGAATCATCATATTTTAGACTACTACTACTACTTCAATAAAACTATCAAACATAGCACAAGTAAAAAGGTAGGTTATTGGCACCTTTTAGCATTTCTTAAAGGCTTGTCAGTAAAGTGTTCAAAATTTACTCAAGTCCAGAAAACAACTCATTTTTATCCCCAAATTTGCAATTTCTGCTTTGGCATGTCAGCCTCAAAGTCATATACTGAATCTCAATCCTGCACGTTGCCCCACATCATGCATTTATATGTAACGTCACCAAGACAATTTTGATTCCATGTAAGTGTCTACAGGTGTGGAGAAAGGAAGTAAACTAATTTGTTCACGGAACTTGTTTGCAGGCTCAGCTCGTCTTCACTATTACTCATCAAGAAAAATGATGACAATTTAAAAAAAAGGGGAGGAAATCCTAAAATGAGATGAATCAGCTGTAAAATCACTCATTAAAATGAGGACAACCTTTGCCACCCTTTTTAAGCCATAGTTTTCTTCACAAGACTAGATTTTTTTTTCTGTGTCATATTCAGTGCACAGATACTTGCACATGTCAAAGCTATAAGGAATGCGACAAGTAAACCTGCTACAGTTAACGACATTTTAATCTTTATGCACATTAAGCGCAAACCTACATTGTATAGGTTTGATAACAGTAACTGACATTAGTCGAATTCAAGGTATAAATTTCCTTCCAAACTAGATGCGTACGTAGGTGGGTGTGTTATAGAAATATAATATTCTACGTGGCTGAGCCGAGATAAGCGGGTGATCCTCAACTATCAGTGTCATCTGCACAATTAGCGTAGAAATCTGCTCACCTAAATACCTGTTCATCCTTCTTGTAACACGTATTCTAAAGAGCTCAGTGAATAGTAGATAACGTAAGCATCTAATATGGTATGACAGAAACTCTGATGGAGCTAAACAGCAGATTTAAATTCTAATAAATAAATGAAGTAAAGCATTTACTGCCAGCAACTATGTCACGTTAATGATAGGAAACTGTAGCTCTGCAGCTGGAGAAGGGCAGTAATCTGCAAGCCAGAGAAGCAATGGAACTCGTCCAGCTTTGATTATTTATGGTGTGATGATGAAGAAACAACCTTCCATATGAGGAACAGCTTTAAAGTTGAACAGTGAAGCTGAAACAGAGATTTAATGAAAAATCAGAAGGGAACAAAACTACAGCTACAAAAACAGTAACATTCGCTTCAACAATTTAAAAATATAATTTATGTGCAAAACCAGATGCTAACTTGTCCAACTTTAAGGTAAACAGCAAACTGTACTCGTGACAACCATTTGCCGAACAGCAGACAAGCGCTATTTAATGTTGCTGTAAATAAGGCTTACTTCATACCTCAAAATGTTATCAAAATGAACCCAAATTCAAAGCAAACACACACTTTAAACAAAGGATATATCTGTATTTAATGCCAAGCTATTTTCAAAAATTCCAGCCTTGAAAAAAATCTACCCTAAACATAATATTCTGATGTGTAAAGAATTTTTTCATGCTTGATAAAAAAGGCTTCTAATTTTAAACATTTACAAGAACACTGAAAAGTAGCTTAGAACCATGCTTTAAAACATGTTTTCAGGCTTTAATTTGCTGAAGGCTGAGACCTCTTTACCCATTTGCACTAGAGAAAGGACGAAAAGCTCAAAAATATGGTGGAAAAAAAAGCGCTGCACATGAAGATTCCCAGTTAAATAAGCAGCACCCCCTCATCCCAACCCTCACCCCACCCCAATCATTGCAACCCCCTTTTCTTACACGTAATGAAAGTGAGCGACTGTTCTAGTCTGACAAACAGCACCCAACAACTCATCTGCAGCACTGGCTCTGACCCACCAGTACTCTTAGCAAATACTTTTTGATAAGATTTTTGAAGTACTATTCTGTCATCACTGGTGTTATTCCTGAACATGAGAAACTACACTGAGGGACTGATGATTTTGCAGGAAAAGTGATTCTAAATAAAAATAAAAAAGGTTTGATCATGTTCATTAAGTTTTTGCCTAACTCTTAAAATGATTGCTTTAGGCCAGGAACGCACTTTCCTTTGATATATTTCAACTATATGAAGGAGGGACTATTCTCACACTTCTGTTTCAAGGAAAAAATCAAGTTGTTTGATTTTGAAAGTTAAAGGATTAAGTTGGGGGGGAAAAAGGCTTCTAAATGTAAACACACTCTAATAAGTTAAATACAGTCTCAGTTTGATATGAAACTCTGACCGTAAGATTAGCTATTCCTTTCCAAATGTTCCATACATTCTGCTCTACCTACCCGATGAGAAAAAGGGAATATGAATGTATTACAGGCATTAAAGATGGATGTGCCATCGAAAAGAACAAGAACAAACAGTATGTTTAAAGTAGTTCAGCATGTGAACATAATACACTAAAGCAATGAAACAATCACAATTGGGCTTTTTTATAGCAACAGATACTAAGAAGGAAGCTGTGATATTCCACAGGGATCTTCCACCTTATCAAACGCCTGCACAATTCTATGAGAAATTTCCTTTTGTCTTGTATTTTACTTGGCTCCAGTCCCACAGTTCAACACCAGGTAAAGCACCATAAGACAAGAAACGTCATTCAAAAACTATTAGCTCAAAGTTGCCTTAACTATTTTAAAACAAAACACACACACACAATATATTATAATAGTTTCTGGAATCCGAGCATTTTTAGATCTCCTCTTTTCATGTTCTCAACACAGCTTTTACAAACTAGTGCATGGCCACCCTGGACATTTTGAGAATGACTCTTTCATCATTGCAACCCCCCCATAACAGTCTCACCACAAAAAGAAAAAAAGAAATGAACTAAAGTAGTGGTGTAGAAACAGGATTGGTGGGATTGGTGTATTTTCCAGTTTGTCATCTAATCTGCTCTGACTTCTCACAAATGATACAGTGACTTCCTACACTGTTTCCATTATTGCTCCCAAAATAATTCAGATCTACGTTAGGTTTTAAGTAAGAGCAGTTTAAACGCACATTTTAGACTAGCTTCAATGGCTTCAATGAACATTTCATCAAAACTGAGTTCCAGAACTTTATCTCATTTTAAAAATCTGAAAAACATTTATAAATGGCTAACACAAAACACTGCGATATAGAAGTAAAAGCTTCTACTTTGCAACAGGAAGAATTATTTTTATTCAAAAAATGAAAACTCAGATTTTGAAGAATTCTGTATAACCTCACAGAAACTCCTTGGCATTTGTCAGTAGTTCTTTTCCACTGTTTTGCAGTGTCTCAGTGTAAAACTGCTTCAATTTTAAACTAAAAAAACCCCCCAAGGTATGCATACAAGTTTTGTCCTTGAAGTCAGTTCAGACTTTCCCCCTTAGAGATGTGCTGAAATGGTAATTTACCTGGTCTGCTCTGCAGTGGAGGATACAGCATGCACTATTCCTGCATTACAGGCTATTATGGGTTTGCATCCTAGTAAAATAACTGTAATTGGCTCCTACGCTTAAGATTGTATCTACTGGAAAGTTAAGGTGCTGCATGCAGTTCCTGCAGTACAGGAAATTCGGCAACATAAGGGAAAAAAGTTAAAACTTATACCAAATATTTAGAGGTGGAGGGACAATTTCCCTTTAAGGCCACAGACTAGGCCAGCTGCGCAAGTGCAAGTACGTGAGCTATATACCAAGAATGTTAATGGTAGAGTGCTAAAGGTGTTGGCAGCAGTAGTGCTGCTGTCATAGGAGGTGCAAGTAAAATGCTTGAAGTTCACTGTGAATCATGCACTCTATTGCAGAATGTCAAACTTCCTAGAAGTAACAAACTCGGATTACTGTTTTTAAAACAAACTTTTTTTTTCATAAAACAGTCAAGCTTTGAGAGTTTCGTCTTCACAGATGACGACTAACTTTTGTCTTGATCCCAAAGTAGGCTACAGGCAAAAAAGAAAATATGCATGTGATTTTTTCAGTTTAAAAAAATCTAAAGATCTCTGCTGTTTACAGGACAGCACATAACACCTGAAAGGCCTGCCAACAACAAACCTGCAAGCAACAAATAAGGCTGAAGACACCGAAATCAAGAAAACAAGATTTAAAAGCTGTCAGACTATAAAACTCTAAATATAGGTTTTATGCACGCACATTCAAAAGACCTAGAGAACCGCAGGCAAATACATATTTACCTCAAAAATCTGGAAGCAGAGCTGGGACTCAAATTACACTTACAGTCTGGTTTGTCATTCCACTCAAGCTCAGGATTACTTCATGCAAACTAATTTATTTCTGTGTGTATAATATAATGTACCTTGAGTATCCCTTTCCTTAAGTTTAACCACTCGCATTGCATATTTGCTGCTAACTTCCCAACACGTGAAAATTGCGTTTCGTAACAGGCTTGCATGTCCCCATCTGGAAAGATAATGGGTGAATACATTTTGTATTTAACAAAATAAAGGCAAACAAAGATTGCAAATGATAATTAAAAAAAAAACCTCAATCAATCAAACAAAACAAACAAACCTCTCAAGTGATACTTTTTTTGAGTCGGTTTCGCAACACAGAAAAAGCACACAATTTGGGAATTTAGTTCATGTTTTTCAAAGCTTGGCAAAATTGAGCTTTAATATTCACCATTATTAGAAAGGTCAATAATTCCTTGTTTTGAGAACAAATTAAAAATTGTCCATAAAATGGAAGGGTCTTCACAGTTATGATGACTCTGCCAATGATAATAAAGATCTTCTTTTCTTCCAAATAACTGTTTGCATAAAATGCAGTTATACCCAGCCTTAGACCAAATTTGAATTTTTTTGCTCTGTGCACCACAACCTACATTTTGCATCTCCTTGGCCACTTCGCTGTTTCCTGACTGAGTCATTTCGCTTTTAGATAACACATCAACGTTATTTTGATGGTGAAAGTATATTTGCCTTTTCAGTTTTGGTGAAGTATAAAATCCTTCCTCATGAGCATTGCATTTTGCTAAATGTCTTCTCTCATTGCGCTGTTTCCAGAAATGAGTTGTATGTTTGACCAATTCCCCCTTAGCTCCTCTATTTCCTTGCAAAATCCCTTCCTTTACTCTTCCCTGGATCTCTTCTCCATGACAGCACAATAAATGAAACTTCATCTCAGCAAAAGACTGTGCAATAAACTGGCATCGACCACACTTGATCTGTAATTTGACTTCTCCTGGATTATGGAATAGGTCTTCAAAATTGCATTTATTTCCCCTGTTAAAAAAAGGAAACGCAAACTACTTCAGTATTAGCCATGCAGAAAACAGAGATGACAATTTCCAAGTTTTGAGAAAAGATGGCATTTATGAAACATAATTTTAATTAAAAACAGGCATTGTTCCTACAGTACCTAACTTATTAGGAGCAGAAAAAAGGAGAGAAAAAAAAATCAAATCTGGTTAGGAAGCAAATGAAACCAAATGTTATTCAACACTATTAAGTTTACAAATTCCCTCCAAAAATAGTCTTTGTAAAAATCATCTTTTAACAACATTAACCTTTTGATAAAAGTTTAATAATACTTTAAGTTCCTGAGTTAGTGAGGTCAATTCAAATACTTCTACCTCTGCGCTAGAAAAGCAAGAGTGAATCTTACCAGAAGCTATTAAGCGAAACTGATTGATCTGTTTGTACCCATTGATCTAAAGGCTGCTTAAACTAAAATAGGCCTCACCTCCCACTGCAAGACAGCAACAAAGAAACTTCAAAGTATCTTTTTCTCTAAAAGTAACTAATACACTAAAAAAAGAAATTTTTGTATGTACAATTTTTATATGTACAGTTCACAACTGGACAGCCCCTCTTCATTGTTTCAGGACAGTTCTGCAGTACAAAGGAAACATATACATAAAGCTAGCATATCGCTGGTTTACGTCAAGGCAATCAAAAGAGCTCCACAGAACACCTTCTCATAATGTCTAGAAAAAGGATCACATATTACTGTTTACTCATACCGATCAGATAGACAAAACAAGGAAGGCTGAAATAAAAGCATCAGCATTTCTTAGGTTCAATACCTTAAATATTTCTGACTGAACGGAACTATGCAAGCAAACTGTATAAAACTGAGATACTGAGTTGTACTGAGCTTAAGAAACATATTTCAATGAAAACAGATGCACAGTGAAGCCAAAAAAAAGTCCCAGCGTTTCTACTATGTCAAGAAATTTCACCTCAAGATCCTAACGAAGAGATAAAAGAATGTCCTATCCACCTTTGTGGTATGTATTAGCTTTTTCACTTGGCTAAATGATCACAAAAAGAAGCAGTGATCAATGCACACCATAGATTAGCTCACAGCACTCTAGAGAAGGAAATGGGATAATGATATTTAATAGGGTAAATAGACTACAAGCTAATACTCAAATATGAATTGCTTTTCACTTATTACATTTGGTTCATTTATCTTCTGGGAAAAACACAAAATGGATAAAACACAGGTTAAAAATACAGTGCAGGTTAATAGAAAAAATATTAGCCATTAGACATCAACTAATAAAAACAGCGCCACTGGCATTTTGGTATTACTTGGATATATGCAAAATTACTTTGGACGTTCAAGTGTCAGTGATAATTTACAACCAATATATCAGCTAAAATATACTGGATGGCCTAGTGGATTGACTAGCTGTCTTAACAAAAGGTGGAAGTCATTAGGAATTCCACTTGGGAAAAAAAAAGCTGAGAAAAAAAAAATTTCATAATGGTGACATTTATGAATTTCTACTAACAACCTGTTTCTGATTTTCCTGATTTCTACTGAAATCCTGGTTTTATGAACATTCAATTAGCAGAAACTCTCACCTCTCTGTTGCTTCTTCTGTCTCTTTTATAGTCGTATCTCTGTTCTTTAAAGCATCTTGCAGCAGTTGCTCACTAGTAGAGGGCTCTGTGCTGATAACAACTCTGTGTACTTCCTTTAGGTGACCAAAGTATACTTTTGCATGGCCAAAAACTTTAGCACAGAACTCACAACACACAAGCTTTTTGGGTCTGCCTTCATTGTGATGAAGTTTCATATGTGTACTAAGGCTTCCAGAATGAATATATGCTTTCCGGCAAATCCGACAACTGTAAGGCCTTTTGTTTGTATGTGTATTCATATGGTCCTGAAGATGGTGTTTAAACTGGAAGTTATGGTTACAGACATGACATTTATGCCACAGCTTAGGTACAGTTGAATATACATTTCTACTTAAATCACTTGATTTAGCAGAGGTGGTATCGTTATGCTTGTAACTTAAATATTTATTGGGAAGTGAGTTATTTAAAAAAAGTTCTTGCTCTAAAAGGTCAGGAGATTTTGTCTCCACTATTGCCGCAGTAGTCAGTGGTGCAAAAGCCTGTACAACTACCACGGGCTTTGGTCTAATACTACGGTATTTTTTCACTGCCTCCGTTTTCTTGTCTTGAGGTTGCTGAAGATCAGCTTTCGTCCTTTCTCTTCCTTCTCTAAACTTATTAACAATGCATTTCCTTCGCTTGGACTGAAAAGCCAACAAATCATCTGGGGATCTTCTTTTTCTGCCTCTTCTTTTAGAGGATGGACCATTCAATTTTTTAAGACTGTCAATATCCACTTTATTGGATGGACAGAAGGTATTTTCTCGATTAGTTTGTTTGGGGACTTGTGCAAATGATACAGCTAATCGTTTATCAGATGCCTTAGTAGGAACATGAAAGGTTTTCACCAAAGCTGGTATCTTCCCACATTCAGATCTTAGTGAAGGACCAGATACACCCATAACAGTAGCGTTTTGCTTAGATTTAGAAACTATTGTATTTTTCACTCTTGAGTAAGGCAAAATAGGAAGTTTTCCTTTTGGTGCAGATGGAGTCAGCTGTATTGCACTGCCAAAAACTGCTGGTGACAGTACAGTGACAGAATTTGCAGAATTTGTGGGTTTTTCTTTCACTTTCTCAGACATTATGAGCGAATCTTTTGTGGTTTCAAATGCTGTCTTCACTGAATGCAGACTTAGTTTCACGGGATTACTTGTACTTGCTGACTTTGTTAAAGAATCTTTAACTACCGATGGTCCAGAAACATTACCTTTAACAATGTCTGTTTTGTTTAGTAAAGGAGATTCCGATGCCATATGCTTGCTTTCATTTAGCAATGTGGCAACTGTAATTTCAGCGGAACCATGGTCCATTAATATCACTTGCTCAGATGACTCTGAACTACTATGAGTTTCAGGATAGTCTTCGGTTAACGTAGTTATGGGGGAAGTCTGTGGTAAGATCTGGGCTTCGGTAGGAATCTTGTTATGTGCAGCCAGAACAGATATTTGAGCTGCTTTTTTCTCACCCAGCAATTTATTTCTTACAGACTGGTACCTAGGGATAGGCAGCTTGACATTTTCTGAAGGGGGTAGGTTTGATTGCTGGATTTGCTGTGTTAGTGCAGGGGTAACATATGGCAAAGCCAAAACAGAAAAAGTCCCCTCATGAGCAGCAACCTGCATCACAGCATAGTTTTGTGTTGGTACTACCAGCGGTTTAGAACCTGAAGCTGAAATAGGTGTATTTTGTTCAGGCAAAGATGACTGAAGACAAGAAACCACTCCAGTTGTTAAAATTTTCGGTACCATTTTTGGAGCAATGGTCCTAAACTGACTTTTCTTCTGAAAACTTTGTATGGTATCAGAAGGGGATTTGTGTTCATCTGTAATAAATAATAAAATAAAATCCACAAACATGTATTATCATGTATAGTATATCTTTTTGGAAATTTACTGTGTCAAAAATAAAACTGCTTATAAAGGATTCTATTACACACAAACTTATTACAAATATTTAGGCATGTAAACAACCACTAAACTAAGCTTAGAATTACAAGCTTCTCATGGACAGAACAAAAACAATCCCTAAAGCAATATGCTTAAATACATATATATATATATACAAAAAACAGTCTCTTAAGCTAACCTTAAATGGATGTTTCCATTCTAGGTTACACACTTTGCAACATTTCAGAACATAACACCTCTAAACTCTTCTGTCCTGAAAAATCTGTTCCAGCATGCTGTCAATTTTCACTTGGAAGAACCAAGATTTAAACTTTTAGTGATGCAGAAGTTCTCTAAGCACCTGTTCCGATCATATCTTTCTACTAAAGTCATTGTATCTTGCAGAGAGCTTCTCTAACTTTTAGGATATGTGCGTTTTATTAGATATAGGCTAAAGCTTACCTGCTGAAATCTTTAAGCAATTACTGCTATAAAGTATGCAAACTTGTAATAAAATCAGAGAGGACTTGAGAAAAGAAGAACCATTATTAAAAAAAATAAACCACACATGCTATATTCGAGTATAATGCATTCTGACTGCACAACAGAACTATTCTTGTATTAATTAAGCTACTCAACTGTTTTCTTGAAAGACATAATTTATTCAAATTATACCACAGTTTTTTTTACTGTCACTGTTTCTCCTTGTGTTGGTAAATATCACAAACATTTTTAATACTGAAGAAAAATGTGAGGATAATTAAGGAAAGAGATGATTAAGGATGAGACATTCTGCAGAGAGGTCCAGAATTTCCTGTTATCCTGTGCAAATTAGACTACTGTACATTGGAAATCCTGCACAAACATAAATAGGAATACATCGAGGCCTAGAAAGTTTGCACAATCTGGAAAAAGTAGAAGTATGGTAACTTTAAAATTCTGTTATTTCTTCTCACTACAGTCATTTTGTTCTTCAAAAGCTAGGACTACTGAGTACTTTTCACTAATAGTAATTATTCTGCCAAACTTTAATCATTGTAAAAATTTTTTTTCAACTGCTAACATTGTTAATAACAGCCAGAATTTTTGTTTCCTGTGGAGTATCTTCTTGTTACTGCTTTTAAGGCAACAATTCAACAGTTTCTGAGAAAAAGTACAATATAATGATGTAAATTAATATAATCATTTACCAAACTAGACCCTGACCTTCAAAGCTAGCAACAGGTCAAACCGTACAGTTTAGAGTAGATTATATAAACATGTTTTGCTTTTAGGAATATTTTCCAGATTTATCCTTGCCATATACTGATGTTAAAGACTTTCTAAACCAGCATTTATTCAGCCTGTCACAATATTCAACATGAAGTAGCTTCCATTCTCTCTTCATGTTTGGCTTGTACCTCTTCTCTTTTTATCTCAAAATCTCATTCAATGATTTGCATAAACTCATTAGGAAAGCCACTACTTCAGAAGACTGCTACCTCTGCTTTTTTATACTCCAAAGTTTTAAGGCACCTGCTCTCCAACCAGTGACAGCAAATGATGCGTCCATAGCAAAAACTCCATCACTTCCTCAACTCACATCTCTAGAGTAGTCTAAAATGGCAGTTGAAGCACCACCAAGGAATAGTCAACTCGAGGTTAGGAGGAAACACTTCTACAAACAATGCATTACACCAGCTTTAAAAATGAACATATGCTTCTCAAATTCATGAACCTGCCATTGCAAATTTAGGCACTGAAATCACTTTTATTTAAAGAAAATCTCTCTACATAATTTCAACTCCACATGAAATTAGCATTTTAGAAGCTAAGACCCTCATGAGTATCAACCACAAAATGCTCTTTGAAATAAGGTCATTTTAAATCAACATTCTTCTTATGTAGTTATTAAAATGCTAAGCATTGATATAGCTGTTTCAGAAGGGATTTCTATATAAACACTCTTTTTTTCAACGGGTGCAATTTTATCATAAATATTTCTTCCAGGCAAGCCATGTTTGGTCTCAGCCTTGAGTACAATTTCTTTTTTTTTTTGGCCAAGTTTACGCTAGACAATTTAGTGAAGAAATATTCACTGAAGTGCCTCTGGTATGCAGAGGATATTCAGCTCTGCATTTCCCTCTCATCCAACACAGCTGCTATCATTAAGCAGCTTAGCCAGTGTCTAAATATAGAGAATGGGCTAGATTTTGCTTGTGGATTGGGAAAGCTGATTGGAAGAAGTGATGGAAGATTATTGAGCTTTGTGGATCAGGAAAAACACCCAAAAGATTCACAGTCTGGAGGTCCTACTGACCTCCTCCCAAAATATCCAACTATCATCTATGACCAAGAATACTTCTTCGATTTACACTTGGCTAAGAGTTTCCTTTGGACACACAGATCACTGCAGTAATTCATGTCTGTGCCACCTTGATGCTGCAAGACTTGAACGTGCTCTGGCTCGCACTACACCAGAAGGCCAAACGGAAACTTAATATGCATCTTTCAGGGACATTTTGCTTGTATTCCGTGCCACCTTTCAAATTATTCCAGTCCCTGATTCAAAGGGCTCACTTTGACTTTTCATTTGTGACCTGAAGAACAACTTTTATTCCCGTGCAAACACATGAAGTCTTTGTATCCAAGAAGGGGAATTTTCAGCCAAGGCAGTCCAATGGCATTCTTGAGGACAGCCCTTGGTTTTAGGTCATTCTCTTTCTACAAGCCACAGTCTATAGCTCCTTCATTGGAAAGTAGTAATTTTTACAGGTTCTCCAAAACTCTCATTAAGAATAAAAGAAATGAGTGAACTCATTAGATTTAATCTCTGAATGGTGTGAAGTTCACTTTTAATTGACATTTTTAATATTTCAAATATGCATGCAATTGGACACCTCTAAATAATTAAGCACAAGGTTAAATCAAATGCTAGTCAACCTGTTTACTTCAAAAATGTCTGTTAAAAGATTAACCATTGCCATACTACTACATGGAAGTATCAACTCAGCCTGATATTTCAATATGTCGTAAGCTTTCTCCATTTCTAAATTATCTTAAAATTGTATAGCACTAGCCAATGATACACCAACAAAAATCAATAATGCATCAAAGTTTCTCAGAAGCCATGATACAGCCATGCTGGAAAGAGTCCTCTGGAGGAATGAAAGTCTTCCACAGGACTGCTGCTCATCTGTGGTTTCCTTTTGTTCATGAGAGCCACTCTAGTCCAGTCCAGTCTACTCTGCTTCTTTTTGTATTTCTGTCAATTTGTTCTGCCTTTATGTAAAGCATATATCATTGGCGAACTCAGACACTGTAGGAAGCGTCTGATACTACTAATACAACCTATTTCAAACATAAAGAAAATATCAAGGTGCCAAAAAACAATGTGCATTCGTGTTAATTAAAAAAAAAAAACTTGATGTCTAGGTGTATATTTAATGTGTATGATCAGGCAAGTGATAGAAAATAACACAAATGAATGATGATCTTATTTTGAAGGGAAAGGTAGAATTCAGACAAAAAAGATTAATGAAATATTTTATAAAGTACATGTTTATGGTGTTGAGTCATTTGCTGACTTGAAAGGAAAAAATCCATTCTCTGGGAAAGAAAAAACGTGCAACAATTCTCTAACAGACAATACTACATCAATTTCTGTCAATGCTAGTTAATTGTTACATTCTGCCAAATCTCCAAGCACGCTAAATACCTGTGGATACAGTCTTTCCCGCACAAGTTTCTTGTTTTTGCTGACCCAGCATACTTTGTTGGACACAATGTTTCTCTGTAGGATTAGCATGCAAAAAAACACCACCTGCAAAAGTGCTTCAATCAGTTATAAATAGAACCCAGAACAAAAAACCAAACCAAACCAAAACAGAAAAAAAAACACATAAGACAATATAAAACATTATCTTCTAGCTAATCCATTAAGAAAACTAATGCTTCTTGTTCTTTGCCATTTTTCTCTGCTCAAAAACCATTTTAAAATCTAATATCTTACATGCCAAATACAAGGCGATAATTTAAAAAAAGGAGTATAGCTGGTTAATGTGGTAAACAGATGGGATGCTTTAGCTTCAGTGTCATGGCAGACAGTCAACAGAACAAAAACAAAAAGCTCACAGAAAAATGAAGTTTCAGTAGTTTTAGTAAGACTTTTAACCACAGGGGCTAAATTCTATGACGATTTACACTTTCCATAATCCCACTTAAATCAATGGAACTGCAGATACGTACCAAAATCGAATTTGGCCTTCTATGTACAAAACTAGTTTTGCTGCACACCTATAAAAAGTGTGATTGGTAATAAAGCCTATAGATTAGGACTGTCCAAAACTATATGTTATAAGAATCTATTTTCAGTTGTTTATAACCATGTCAAATATTAACAATTTGGGTGGAATGTTCCATATTAGGAATATTCCATAATTTTCTAAAACAAACATTAACAGACTATGTCAGCTACTCCCAGGTATGCCTGCCTTGAAAAAAAGAAAAAACTATCAATACATATGGGTATTAGAGGAAGACCTTGATACTTGATACAGCAGGGTCTGTTTCTCTAAAAGGCTGCCCAAATTCGGCGAATTTGCAAGTCATGTGTTCAATAGATATTTTAAACAGCTAATTTTTCACAGAATCACAGAATGGTTGGGGTTGGAAGGGACCTCTGGAGATCATCTAGTCCAACCGCCTTGCTCATGCAGGGTCACCTAGAGCACGTTGCCCAGGATCACGTCCAGACGGGTTTTGAGTATCTCCAGGGAAGGAGACCCCACAGCCTCTCTGGGCAACCTGGTCCAGTGCTCTGTCACCCTCACAGTGAAGAAGTTTTTCCTCATGTTCAGACAGAACCTCCTGTGGTTCAGTTTCTGCCTGTTGCCTCTTGTCACTGGGCACCACGGAGAAGAGACTGGCCCCATCCTCTCGACACCCTCCCTTCAGATACTTGTACACATTGATGAGATTCCCCCCTCAGTCTTCTCTTCTCCAGGCTCAACAGGCCCAGCTCTCGCAGCCTTTCTTCAGAGGAGAGATGCTCCAGGCCCCTCATCATCTTTGTAGCCCCCCGCTGGACTCTCTCGAGTAGTGCCATGTCTCTCTTGTCTCTACTGGGGAGCCCAGAACTGGACCCAGGACTCCAGATGTGGCCTCCCCAGGGCTGAGCAGAGGGGCAGGATCACCTCCCTCGACCTGCTGGCAACACTCTGCCCCTCATGCACCCCAGGATACCCTTGGCCTTCTTGGCCACAAGGGCACACTGCTGGCTCATGCTCAACTTGTTGTCCACCAG